CATATTAGAATGATTTCTGAAGGATCATGTGACACTGAAGACTGGAGTAATGGCTGATGGAAATTCAGCTTTGCATCACAGAATTTTTATTTATTTTAAAGTATATTATATTGGTTTTTATACTGTATAAAAGTATATTCTACATCAACCCTACACCGAAACCTACCCCTCATAGAAAACTTTCGGCATTATTACAATAAAAAAAAAATTTGTTTACTTAATTTTTGTCAAATGAGGATGTCCCCAAAGGGAGTTTTTTGGAGATTTTGTCAGGTTTAGCTAACTTTTGGGTACAAATTTGTCCCCAAAATATGTTAAGTAGGTACACACACATACACAAACATGAAATACCGCCTCTTTGACCTCATTGATGCTCTTATTTGAATGGGAGAAAATTACTGCATCCATGTTTTAATATCTACTGGAAAGCATTTCAAGAAGAGTGAGAAACTTATCAATGCCTGCAGTTGTAAAATTAAGTGTTGAAAAAAGCACATGGATTTGGGTGTTTGGCTGTCTGCATGCATTTGGCCATGCAGAACTTCATTAAATCATTCAGACATTTCATTGTTGATCACTGTGATACAACCACCACTTCCTTTGCCCCCTCAGCCCCCTGGAACTGAATTACTGACCACTTTAATTACATCAGATGGTGTGTTAATGCACTGCAGCAAAGATTGTGGAGTTTCCTTTCCCTCTGACATGCATTATGGTGCTAAAGCTTTCTTTAATGAGGATATGTTATGCTGCATTATGGAACAGCACAGCAGCTTAGAGGAGGTGGAGATGTGTGTGTATGTGTCGTGAAGGAAGATTTAATGTGTTTGTGACTAAAATAGCAGTCTGCGTAAATTTTCTTGACTACGTTCCTCTCCTTTCTGTAGAAAAAACAAAAACAGTGTAACTATTCTGGTCGCATGCAGGGAAACGTCCTGGCTGCTCTCATTAGGCGAATGCATAATGACAATGTGTGCGCGCTGCCGACTGAGGCAGATATGCAGGTTCGCTGGTTAATCTCTGCACAGACTAGCCAGTCTAGTCTTTGACTAATGAAGTCCAGGGCTTAAATATCTATTTGGTTAGTGTCTTCCCTATCAAACACATTAGGCAAAGCTAGTTTTTAAGGCTTTGCATTTCTAGGCCAGTGTGTAACACAGAGTTGAGTCTCACTGTGGGGTTTAGATCTGTTCTCTCTCTCATCTGTCTGCCAGACTACAAACCATCCTCTGATTAATTAAAGATTAGACCTAATTAAATGAGAAGTGCAACCAGGGCTAGTTTCTAAAACCAGGAGGCATTTATTTTTCAAAAGTCTTCCCCCTTCAGCTTTAATTAGAATACAAAAATTTTAAATTAATTATTTTGACTTACTTGCATATAGCAGATAAAGAAATGTTACCGATCGATCTTTGATCATTTATTTTCGCTATTAGCTTCCCTGGATGTTTGATGGAGTACAAACTGGGACTGAGATCAGGAATAATACATTATACAGATGTTTTCGTTTCCAAAGTGACGGAAATAACTGTGCTGACGTGAACATGCAGGGTGTGTGTATTCCTCAGGGTGAATATGTGACTTTGTGTGATGAATTATACAGCCATAGCCTCGGCTTCAAGGTAAGCAAGAGGACATGGGTAGTAGGCTGTTCCAAATTAATTAACACAGAATCCTTGAGTTACAAAAAAATGACTTAATTTAGAATACTAGACATAAACACAAAAAGACATTTTTTTAAAGGATAGTTCACCCCAAGAATTTTAATTTTGCCATTATTTATTCACCCTCGTGTTGTTCTACCTCTAATTTTTCAGTAAAACCCCAAATGAGATGTTGGGATGGAGGTCCAAGTTGCTCTTTTCTATAAAATGAAAGTGAATTTATTATTTCAAGCTCCAAAATGAGCAAAAGAGTATAATAAGTGTAACCCACAGTGAACATATGGCTACTTTGATGATTTTAGGATGTTTTTGTTTTTTGGAGCTCATAAGGACAAACCACCACCTACTTTTATGATAATAAATTGGTTGCTTGGACATTCTGCCTAACATCTTCTTTTGTGTTTCATGAAAGAAAGAAAGTAACTGATTTCACTTCAATTTCTAAAATGAAAATTCTGTCATTAATTACTCACTCTCATGTCCTTTCACACCCGTAAGAACTTCGGAACATCTTCGGAACACAAATTAGGAAATTTTTTATGAAATCTGAGAGCTTTCTGACTCTGCATAGACAGCAACGCAATTGAAAAATTCAAGGCCCAGAAATGGTGTGGCCATATGGCAACATGGTCTTTGTGTTCATTTCCTTGCCACTGTCTCTTTAAGAGAACGTTCTCGTTTTTTGGGTTGGAAAGAGAAGACCTTAGTTTAGCCAATGATGTGCTTTGGGTAAGTCACATGACATGCAGTTTTTTTCTGTGGCGAGATTTCTGACATACTGCGTCTCTTGTCGGTAGTTGCTGAAAGCAAACAAACAAGGACCAGTCCATCTTTGTGTTCATTTCCTTGCCACTGTCTCTTTAAGAGAACGTTCTCGTTTTTTGGGTTGGAAAGAGAAGACCTTAGTTTAGCCAATGATGTGCTTTGGGTAAGTCACATGACATGCAGTTTTTTTCTGTGGCGAGATTTCTGACATACTGCGTCTCTTGTCGGTAGTTGCTGAAAGCAAACAAACAAGGACCAGTCCATGTCACTTCCACAAAAAAATCAGAAACATCACTGTTATGATGTTATGATGACATATTCACCTCTCAAAAAAGTTTTTATGAAATTAGTTTTTGGTAAATCATTCAAATGTATGTGTTGCCAAGCGGCAACACTGTGCAATAGTGGAATGACATTATTACAATAGTTTAGCTAGCTAGCAAGGTCAGCTGCAATATATTTGTTTTAACTGTATAAATTTGCAATTTAAATAACATTCATGAAAAATGTAATGAAATTAAAAAAAATTAATCATTATTCAGCAAAAAATAATGGAATAAATAAAATAAGTTGTTGGAAAGTATGTATAAGGTGTCAATTATACTGTAAGTATTGTGTTAAAGCTTATAATAGCACCAATTGAATCAACACAAACAACATTTCTGAGGAAAAATATGAACTATAAGTAAACTTACACTTATTCTAAGTTAGATCCACTATTGTATGCTGTTGACGTATGGCAACATATCATAAAGTACCTTAAAATAATATTTTTTTCCAATTTTTTTTTTACAGCACTTCAAGTTAAGCCATTCTTAGAAAAGAAAAAGAGTCAAATATTTTTTTCTATAAGTCTATCATAATGCGTGCGGTAGAGGGTTAAAATAGTCCATGTGACATCAGTGGTTCAACCATAATGTTATGAGGCTACAAGAATACTTTTTGTGTTGTGGTACTCTTGTGAACGTGCAGCGGAGACTGGCATGGAAGAGAAGAAATTGTTGAATAAAGTTGTGTTTTTTTTTCTTTGTTCACAAAAAGTATTCTCGTAGCTTCATAAAATTAAGGTTGAACCACTGATGTCACACTAACTATTTTAATGATGTCCTTACTACCTTTCTGGGCCTTGAACGCTTCAGTTGAGTTGCTGTCTATGGTGAGTCAGAAAGCTCTCTGATTTCATAAAAAATATTTAAATTTGTGTTCCGAAGATGAACGAAGGTCTTACAGGTTTGGAACAACATGAGGGTGAGTAATTAATGACAGAATTTTAATTTTTGGATGAACTAAGCCTTTAACATTGATTTAATCATGCATATTCAAAACATCTTTAACTAAGAGTTTCTCAGCCTTACTGGTGTTCCTGCAAAAGGAGCATGATCACAGTTCTCCTGCCAGGATCGATTGAGGCTGAGGACGAAGTCCTGAAAGAAAGGATGTGTCCTGTTGAAGACTGAAAACCCGACAATGTTGACTCGTTGATCAGCTAAATCGTCCAATCGTAGCAGAGAGAATTCCTGCAAGGGAAGAGAAAACATTCAAGTTAACTCACCAATATGAGTGCTTCTTATCGAGTTGCTAAGCTCAGGTCTCTTGTCGAATCTAAACAACCTAATGATGCCCATAGGAAGTAAAACAATATCGTCAGGCTCATTAACAAGCACTGAGGTAATTCTGCCAATTCCTGGGCCAAGTAATTCAATTCAGCAAACGTTAATGCTTAGGAGAGCAAATTCCAGCAGCTATTGTGCTTCAGATCCCAGGAGGGGCACTTTTGAGATTGTGCGAAAGCGGGTAAAAAAAGGTCCGCAGTGTTGTCAGTCTGCGTCCCGGCACGTGCAGTACTTCAGCTGAAGGTTAATAGAGATGTCCCAGGCAGTTCCTGCTGGCACTATTACAGTCTATGACTCTGTCACCATCACTGGCTCAGGGGACACCGAAGATGTGATGAGGAAGAGAAGTTATAGTGCTGGACCCATGACACAGATAATATGAGACGAGATGAGGAGAGAAGAGCAAAGAGACAAGAAGAAAAGAGAAGAGACAAGAAAAGACATGATGAGAAGAGACAGGATGGACTGAGACCTTTTCTCAGAGAAGAGGAAACTGGATGAGAAATAATGAAATAAAATGAGATGATACTACACAAGAAGAGACAGGATAAACTGAGAGTAGATGACAGTGAAGAAGAGGAGACTAGATGATAAATAATGAGATAAAATGAGACAACACTAAATCAGAAAAGATGAGACTACGTAAGAAGAGAAAGATGAACTGAGACCAGATGACAATGAAGAAGAGAGAAGAATATATGGGAAGAGATGAGATGTGATGATACTAGATGAGACATGACAGAATGAATGGAGACTTGAGGACACAGAATAGAAGACTAAATGAGAACAGATGAGATAAGACTAGATGAGATGAGACAAGACGAGACAGAATGAACTGAGACTAGATAGAGAACAGAAGACTAAATGAGAAAATATGAGATGAGACTAGATGAGAAGAGAATGGATGAACTGAGACTAGATGACAAAGAAGAAGAGAGGAGACTAGATGGGAAGATCTGATATTAAATGAGAAGAGACTAGATGAGACGAGACATAATAAACTGAGACAGAAAAACTAGGACTAAATGAGAGGTCCAAGACATTATAAAAAAACATGAAGTGAGACTAGACAACAAAGAAAAGAGGAGAATATAAGGGAAAAGATGAGATGAGACGAGACTAGATGACAGAGAAGAAGAGAAATTATGAGATGAAATGATATGAGACTGCATGAGAAGAGAACGAATGAACAGACTATGACAGAGGAGAAGAGACTAGATAAGATGAGACAGTATCAACAGAAACTAGATGACAGTAATGAGAAAAGATGAGATGAGACTAAATGAGAAGAGACAGAATATACAGACTAGACGTCAGAGAAGACTAGATGAGAAGATGAAAATAGATGACACTAGATGAGAAAAGACAAGAAGAGTGGCTAGAACACAAAGAAAAGGAAATGAGATGAGATGAGAGACAAGAAGAGAAGATGTGACAGAACGAGATGAGAGACACCATAAGAATCGAGAGTTGAGACAAGAACAGACATGATGAGGTTTACCATAAAGAGAAGTGAAAAAGACTTGTCTCACAATAGGACTTTATGAGAACACAGAGGATTACCTGAGACTAGAAGACAAAGAAGAGAATGAGATGAGGTGCGACTAAATGAGAATAAAAAATGAATTGAGGTTGAAAAAGAACAGTAAATAGTAAAAGAACAGGAAGCATGTTGAAGCTGTGTGTGCAGGAGGGGTCAGGGAAGGCGAGCAAATGATCCAAACACACACAATAGCAAATCCCAGCCTTACACGAGGAAGCATGCAGTAAGATTGAAGCACCTCAGATCAAAGACAACACAATCTTGCCCTCTCATTACAAACACAAAGCCAGATGAGGACAGCCACCCGGGCCATGGATAGCGCACACCGCGTAGGATTAAAGCCTCTGCCGAGAGGACAGGAAGAAAAGGAAGGGAGCGCAGTGTCATGGGAGCGCAGAGACAAAAATGCACTGCAGAGCTTCAGGAGACAGTTTGTTTCAGAGGAAACCCGAGGGAGAGAGACCGCTGAATCTTCTTGTAGATAACAGAAGCTCCTCTTTTCTTATTTTAGAGGTGGAGCGGCCTCTCTGATTCACTAAAGGATGGCCATGTCAGCTTTTGATTTGAATAAAGGCTGTCTCCTGATCTGATAACAACACAATGCTGTGAAACAACGTTGAAATATGCTCAGATGATTCTGGCGAGAGACACAAGGCTGATTCCATTCTATAACAACAAAATCATGCTGCAAAATATGTAAATATAGCACCTCCAGCACTAAAACCTTTTATTTAAAACTCTCACACTCATTGTGAAGCGTCAAACTTTAAACTTAATTAAAAAGAGTGAATAATAAAACACTTTTCATTAGCAAGCAATTTTTGAGACATTAGATGCCGCAAGCTACAATCTGTTGCTGGCATAAACCAAAAAACATCAGAGTGATGCTGTTGACAAATAATAATGCTGCTTATTGTATGGCTTTGCAAATGAACCTTTATTGTAAATGGACTCATATTGATTAGCATATAAGAGAGTGTGAACAGTTGACCCTTCCTCCATCTGCACTCCCTGGTGCAGTCTGACAAGCCCGACGGGAACGGACCTGTAATTACTCTCCGAGCGCATGTTAATACTTCATTAAAACAGAGACTGTGTAAATGAGCCAGTCATTAACTGTGGCGCACTTTGGGCCACTCATACACGACACAGAAGGTCACCGAATGTCCCGCAGCACGCGTGGAGTGTGTGCATGTGTGATTGAGCAGACACTTCAGCATTTACTAAAAATTAACTGCCCACTAATAGCACCTTTCATTTGCGCGTGCAGTTTTTTTTTTGCGCCTAATTCACAATAGTAATTATGCAAATTAGATAGTAGCACAAACACGTTATGAACACGTTGCAGTGTTGTTACAGATAACGAAAACTACTAAACATCGTTTTTATTATTTGAAATAAAGCTGAAATAAAGAAATATAAATATTTTATGAAAAACAAATGTTGCCTTGGCAAAAAACTGAAATAAATAAGTTTAAATATTAAAATCACTAAAACTGAAATAAATATAAATTAAAGCTAAACAGAAATAAAAATAAATTAAATGAAAATGACACAAGCACATAACAAAAGTTCTAAAATTTTAAATAAAATTTTAATAAAAACAAAAGTAATTCAAAATATTACATTAGTTTGCAGTCTGAATTGAATGTTCTGAGATAAAGACTGTTGAGGTCTTTCTATTTGGTTGTTCTGTCCTCGCTAATCGCATGCAAGAAGCAAACACACAGAGCAATCTGTGTAGTCCGATTCATTTAAGTCAGATTAATAATTTAACAAATAATTCAAAAAGAATCTTAAACGCAGGAGTTACTTGTTTGAATCTGTCTGATGAACTCTAAATGAACTGAATAAACTTGCTGAATTGACCTGTGGTTACTAAACCAAATGTCTGATTCAATACAAGTTAAAGCTAAACATAAATAAAATAAACAAATAAATAAAAATGACAAAAGCACAAAAGAAAAGTAGTAAAACGAAATGTTCTGAGATAAAGACTGTTGAGGGCTTTCTATTTGGTCGTTCTGTCTTCTCTAATCGCACGCAAAAAGCAAACACACAGAGCAATCTGTGCAGTCTGACTCAAGAACAAATGAGTAATTTGAGATTAAGAATTTAACAAGTAATTCATAAGACTCACATGCTCAGGAGTTACTTGTTTGAATCAGTCTGATGAACTCTAAATGAACTGAATAAACAATGAATTAATACAAGCGGTTACTGAATCAAACATCTGATTCACTAACTGAAATATAAGTCAATACATTCATTAGCGATGTCCCTCTCAAAATGAAGCAATTTTAATATGTCAGTGTCAATGTCAATGTCACTTTATTTATAAAGCACTATTTAAAACAACAGCTGTTGACCAATGTGCTGTACATAAACATTAAGCAATAGTTTCCAAAAAATAAAATAAAGAATAAAAGTGAATACATGCAAATTATAACATGACACTATGTCATTTGTTAAAAGCCATTTCAAACAAATAAAACTTCAGTTTTGATTAAAAATTTCCTACAGTTCTGGCAGTCCTAATACTAGCCGGCAGGCTATTCCACAGTTTTGGCGCAGCTACTGCAAATGCCCGGTCACCTCTGAGTTAAAATTTTGTTCTTGGAACCACTAATATTCCCTGATTTGATGATCTCAAGGACTTCCCTGGGTCATATTCCAACAAAAGATCAGTAAGGTAAGAAGGTGCCAAGCCGTTTAAAGCTTTATACACCATTAAAAGGACCTTAAAATCAATTCCGTAGCGAACCGGCAACCAATGTAATGCCATTAACGTCGGTGTGACGTGTTCATATTTTTTAACCCCAGTCAGGAGCCTAGCCGCTGCATTCTGAACCATATGAATACTTATAAACCTGTTTCTTTTATGTCAATGTTCATCTGTTTAAATAAAATAATACCAAAACATAAAATGAATACAATTTGTGATGGTCTATAATTACTTTTTTATTATTATTATGTTTCTATAAAAATATTAATATCGTGATATCATCAACAAAAATTTACTTCCAAACTAATACTGCACCGGGGAAGTCGTGGCCTAATGGTTAGAGAGTCGGACTCATAACCCAAAGGTTGTGGGTTCGAGTCTTGTACCAGCAGGGATTGTAGGTGGGGGGAGTGAATGTACAGCGCTCTCTCCCACCTTCAATACCACGACTGAGGTGCCCTTGAGCAAGGCACCGAACCCCCAACTGCTCCCCGGGCGCCGCAGCATAAATGGCTGCCCACTGCTCTGGGTGTGTGTTCACTGCTGTGTGTGTGCACTTTGGATGGGTAAATGCAGAGCACTAATTCCGAGTATGCATCACCATACTTGGCCACATGTCACGTCACGTCACTTTCA